TGGCATACATTTAGGAATGTCAGATGGACCGCATAAAAACTAAAAACTTAATGGGTCTGTTTTCAGCACTCAGCCCAAGTAGTCTGATTTTCTCGGATTTTCTTGCGTTCGGCGTTTCTTTTTCCTGAGAAAATGTCAGCCAGAAAATTTCCAAAGAAAACAAATCTATTCAGAATTATTCATTAATTTCTTGAAGAAACTTGCCCCAAAATGTCTTGAATTAACAATGTCAAATTGAGATACGAAGACCCCCCTTCTTCGATTGCTTTGTTCGCCATTTGTCCGAGCTCTCTCGCCCTCTTTCTCCTACCTTCTCCATCCTCGCCGCCGGCCATCAGTTGCACTACGGCCCTACTCACTTCTTCCCTCTTCACGGCAATGCCAGCCTTCTCCGGTTCCCCCCAACTTATAGGAACCTTGGAACCCAGACTCACACCGATCTTCGCTACTTGAACGATGAACCTCTCGTTGTAGAACTGCTCGGCGAACATTGGCCAGGTTATCATCGGAATCCCGGCGGTCACCGCTTCTAGAGTTGAGTTCCATCCACAATGAGTTAAGAACCCTCCGATCGCGGGATGAGATAGGATCAGAACTTGCGGTGCCCAACCGCGGATCAGAATTCCTCTCCCTTTTACCCTGTCTTCGAAATTTTGATCTCTGACACATTTCTCAAATTCTTCCATTTCCTTCTCCTTTCGGATGACCCAGATGAAAGGGTGGTTCGATGCTTCTAAACCTAACCCTAGCTCGATCATCTGCAGCGGTGATAGGCGGCTTTGGCTCCCTAGACAGACATAACTTACCGATCTGGGTTTCATGGAATCGAGCCAATGCAGGAATTGGGTTTCATCAATCGAGGCCCTGTTTCCTCTCTCCATCCTATCCAAATCCTCCTTGTTGCAGAGCGACACCGGACCGACGCACCAGACTTTCCCTCCTCTTTTCTGTCGGAATTCTTCCGCATACACCGGTTCCAGTTCCTCAAATGTATTAACCACTACTCCATACGCCGCTACCTCAGCCTCTCTTATTACTAAGCGAAGAGTATCGGAAACCTTCAGCATTTTGATTCCATTGGGAAGCTGCACTTTCGTCAATTCAAACCTGTCCGGTAACCCAGGAACAGCGAAGGTCTCCGATTCTGAAACAGTCTCATGAATATTAGTAGCAAGTATATTCTCCGTGCACAGCAGAGAAAAACAACTAGTTCCATCGAACACAACCCTGGGAATCCCTAATTTGTTAGCTGTATGGAGACTCCATACTCACCTGTCCATCACCGTCGTAGTCTGCTGCTGCGATTCTCCTCCATGCCCTATATAGCTAGGCCAGAAGGCCCGGAGACTTTCAAAAGCTTTCTTTATTTCTTGCTTGGTGAGGAGGCCATCGCCATTATCGCAAGCAAGGATAAGTTTCTTTGTCTCCTCCCTGGTAAGGCGTTGCTCAGCTGATCCGCATGCTGTGATCTTCCGAGTGTGGAAGCCAGGGTTTATATAGAATCGATAGACCTCCTTGATTCTTGTTATATTCTCAATTATCTGGAAACAGTACAAATCATGTCACTCGTGAATGAAGAATTCAATGTTCACAACTTGGCACATGCACTTCCTTGACTTGACTATATAATATCCATATTATTGATCCTCATATTTTTTTATAACATGGGTATATGGGTATTTGTTTGACTAATTAATCTTATATGTATATGTAAATTGTTTCTTCCATCAATACCGTATAAAATTTTGAAAGTGACGAGTATGGCTTATTTAAATTGCTTAATTTTAGCACATATCGGGCTAATATATAT